CTGTGAGTTCAAGGCCAGCCTGGTCTACAGAGCGAGTTCCAGGCCAACTGGTGCTACAGGAAGACTCTGTCTCAAAAACACACACACAACAAAAAGAATTGTCTGTGAGACAAGTTTCAACCAAAGAGAAATCAAACAAGTAAAACCAAACTAAAACAAAGAATAACAAAAGTCATTAAAATGGAATTTTACCCAAACTCCATCCTCTACCCCTTCATTTGAGTTGAGGGTCACTACATTGTCCAGGCTGGACTTGGAATCCTGGTACTTTTGCCAGAGTCTCCCCAGCAGCTGAGATTACAGGTGTGCACACAACACCCAGCTGGTCACACTTCCCTCTAATAAACAGAACGGCATTTCTCAAGTTTGTTATCCACATTATTAAACCCCACAGTTGTATGAGCATGACTTGTGATTCCCTAAAATTAGACCTACCCTTAGATGACAATGACTTGTGACCACCAAAACTATTTCAAAACATGATTATCCCCAAGGTGAGACACAAATCCAACAAATTCCAAGTGTGTGCTGAGCAATTCCAACACACACAATGAGCAGACTCAAGGTCGCCTCTTTAAAGGACATGGAAGTAAGCGGGCTCAATAGCCTCGTCTACCTACAAACCTTTCCTGGTGATTTGTTTTTCACATTCTAATACTTTCAAACCATGTGATGTGAGTCACAATTTTATATTCTCCTCCAAGGCTCGGAGTGAATGCTGGACATGTATGTCTACTGACTGGGCACATCTCCACCTGGACTTTCCACAGAGTAACAGGTCTACTTCAGACAGAGAACCCTTCCTTGCTATCTTTCCCACCTCAGGAAATTACAGCTCCATTCTTCACTGTGTGCAGGCCGAGGACCCTGCAGTCACCCTCTTTCTCTCCTAGGTCACTTCAGTCTCTCAGGAAATCCTATTGACAAACCTTATACTATGCCCAGAATCCTTAGATTTTTTCATACTTCTACTGCTAACCCCGCTGTCAGGCCATCCTCACTTCTGGCCTATAAAGACCTAACCAGTCTTCCATCCTTGGTACCTAGCCTCACTCTTCTCAAGGCAGCCAACATTTAGCATGTAAACGTCCCTCCTAAAATCATTCCATTGGAGCCAGGCACAGGGACACACACCTATAAGCCCCGCACCTGGGAGGCAGAGGCAGGAAGACTGAGTTCAGAGACAGCCTAAGCTACATAATGAATTTCATCCAGGCTAGCCTGGCCTACAGAGTTGGACCCTGTCTCTAAATGCTCTTCTGGAGACTGCACCGAGCAGTCACAAACGCACTTACTCTCTTCACGGCTCCTTCCCCGATGCGCTTCAGCCGCCTCACTTCTGTCCTCAACTCCTCACATGACAACCAGCGTGAGCAGTTTTTCATCTGTCCTATTCTGAAGTAACCGTGAGGACAGTGCCTGGGATCTTCGGTGGATCGGCGAGGGGAAATGAAAAGCTGGTTGAGGCAGAGGTAAAGGAACACATTCATGATGGCCATGGCGAGCAGCAGCCCAAGGACCCGGGGGACTTCTCTGTGGGTGGAACCTTTCCTGTTCTCCTGGAGTTTCCTTTCCATGCTGCTGTCCCACATCAGTTCCTACAACATAACATGAGACAGGAGTGACACCACTGTCCGCTTTCACTCCACGGAGGGGTTCTGACGGCACTGGTGTACTGACGGGGGGTCACACCTGCTCATGGCTCTGCCATCATGGGCTCTGTGAGCATCAGCGTCAGGTGAAGTGCAAGGGAGGCTTGTACTAGCTGCTCAAGATCAGCTGTTCCAACAATCGGTCGTTCTTCGTTACAAACTAAAATTTGGGTTCATCCAGATTAGGTTAGGTTAGAAGAGAGACAGACGTCATCTTTGTCTCACCCACAATGACTTACACTAGGTAGAAACACTGAATGTTTAATAAAATACAAGCAAAATGTGTATTTGTCAATCCGGGGGCACTGGGACAGAAGATGGGCAAAGAAGCCAAGTTAAGGTAGAGGACAGAGGCCTCCTGAGCCACGCTGAGAAGTCGGGGCGTTCCTCGTAAAGGACCCAAAAGCCTCTGGTACAGGCTAGGGATGTACAGCACTGTGCACTCCCAACATATGCAAGGCCCTGCGTTTGAGCTCCAACACAGCAACCACAGAATATGTAGGTTTTCTTTTCCTGTGGTTCAGGGATTCAACTCACGGACTCGGTTTTGCCAGGTGAGCACCATCGCCCTGAGCTACAGCCCAGTAAAAAAGCAAAGGCCGGTAGGTACGAAAGGTGGGTTTGGCGGGGGAAGATACTGGAGCTCAGCGACTACATCAGGAGGCCCTGGACATAATCTGGGATCAGCCAGGTGTGGTGGCACATGCCTTTGTGGAGTCCCAGCACTCGGGAGGCAAAGGTAGGTGAATCTCTGTCAGTTCCAGAGTTGCAGGACAGTCTGGTCTACATACCGAGTTCCAGGCCAGCCAGGGCTACAAAAAACAAAACAAACAACAACAACAAAAAAATCTGGGATAAAAGTTGACAAATCTGTGAATGACAATAATGGTGACAAGATTGGAAAGACGACTCAGGTGACACCCGCAGGGACGAAGGGGTACAGAGCGGGACAGGCCTTGGAAGGAGCCTCCGCAAATGATTCTTGTGGCTCCATGTGCTGGGGGTAGAAGGTGTGCTGCTGCTGGCTGTCAGTACCGGGAGGCTCAGGGTCAGCAGGGAAGAACTGCCTGTATTCCTGGGCCAGAGCCGAGGCTGACAAAAGAGTCTCCT